ATAATTTGTAATTAATCTATACTTTTACTTTTAGAATATTATTGTAAATCTTTAAATTACGTTGGAGTACTCATGTAGCTAGTAAAACAAAGTGCTATGGTGAACTTATGATATACTACATAATACATAATTTTAAGTAAACTTTCATAGGTGGTAAATAAATGTTTAATGCTATGATAAACATTTTTTGCAAACAAAAAAAAAGAGAAAAAATAAAACACTTCAAATGTATGAAGATGAAGGTCCATAAAAAAAAGCACACTTTAAGGCACTCTATTCGTCTCAAAACTATCATCTTAATTTATCTTTTGAATTTTATATTTTTTGACCATAAATTAAATATAATATTAAATAAATGAATATTATAAAATTATAATATTATAACATTATAACATTATAAAATTACATCTTATAATTAGTTCAATTAAATAAAAAAAATATATTAATGTTTAAACATACTTTTTACACAATTTATTTAGAAGTAAATTAGTGATAAAAGCCCTGAATCTTCTTGGGCCACGCCCGAAGTCTTGGTTTCCATCAGCTTTGTCCCTTTGGGCCTTAAGCTAATAACTCATTTGGCTTAATTTATATTTTTAGACATTGAGCCAATGCAGCGACGTAGCTTCGACAAAAGTAATCTTTTTCTTAAACAGAAAAATAATACGAGTAAGGTCCTATTCCGTTCAACTTATTTTTTATTATTTTTTTATTCTTATTAAAATCAGACCAGATCAGACCGCATCATATCAGATCCCATAAAGAATTATTATTATTATTATTATTATTATTATTATTATTATTAAAAATGAAAAAAAGTAAACTTTAGAAACAAGTTAAATAAAAAAATAGAAATTAATCCTTAATTATTAGACGTCGAAAAAAATTATTTTTAAACTACATTGACAATGTTAATCTAATTCTACTTTTAAAGTATATTTTTATTGCTACCTGTAATTTGAGTTTCTAAACTTTTGATCTTGTATAAGGATGAGATATTTTAATAAAAATATTATCTCTTCTCTATATTGATTATATATAAATTAAATATTTATTCTAATGTATATATGAACTAATTATTAAAATATTAAATCAATATTCTTATTTCATAAACAATAATCATCAAATAAACAATATTATTACATTAAAATATGAATGATTATTCTAATATATAAATTAATTAATTTTATTTTATTAAAAAATAATTATAAAATAAAAAATATTAATTATATTAAAGTATGAATTATCATTACAATTTTCAAACGTTATTATAAACTCAAATCAAATTATTGATTTGAATTTTAAATCAAATTATAACTAATCAGATCGGATCCAATCAGATCAGATAAGATCTAATCAGACCAGATCAGATCAGGCCAGATCCAATTAGATCAGATCCGATCCGATCAGATCAGATTAGATCTCATCAGATAAAAACAGACCAGATAAGATCAAATCAAATCAGAACTACAAAAAATCAGATCAGAAAAAATAAGTTGAACGGAACAGAGCCTAACTAAGGGTCTATTAGTAATGGAGAAAAAGGACTCCTAGAAGCCTTTTTTTCATTTTCTGGTGCTAGGGAAGATGAAAAAATGAGGCAAAAAAACTATCAACGAGAAAATCAAGTCTCAAATAAGAATTCATCATGTGAATTATTTTTTTTGGATGTCATTATTTGTTTTTTCTTCCCCTACACTCATCTTTACCATTCACTACAAGAAAATTCCTCTTCTACAACGGAAAACTTTTGTGGCAGAATTTAACATTCAGTGGCAGATTTCAATTTTGCGACGGATCTGCTACAAAATTTTTCCGTCGCAGAAAATTTATGGCAGATTTAATATTTGCGACGGACTTTGAAATCTGTGGCAGATCTGCGACGGACCTGCAACGGGATTTTCATTTTTTCCATCTTGCAAAATCTGCAACGGATATAAAAAATTGTCGCAGATCCGCAACGGAATTAACAACCGACTGTCCGTCGCAGATCCGCAACAAAATTAGCAACGAAATTCGTGGATTTGGGAACTATGAATTACTCTATAAATGGAAAATCATAATCAAATTTGGGACGGAGGGAGTATGAATTAAATGCAACTTTTAAATTTGGGGCCATACGAATTATGTTTGGATTGATTGATTAGTTATGGAAATCATTTGTTATTTGTTTCGAGCTGGTATGGTGTTGTCTGCCCATTGGTTAAAGTAGTAATTTTAGTAGTTCTTATTGGCTAATCTTGATTCTTATTGATGTTATTTGTTTCTAGGTTAATGTTGTTTTCTATGCCCGGACTTTGATTTTGCTGAATTAATACTTTAGTAGAGCTCAAAAGTGATGAAGATTCAATTCATAATGTTGTTTATTTTGTTCTAGCAAGGTAGAACATAAAACATTGTCTGCTTTAGTAAAAATAGCGATGCGTATACAACAATACACTTCTGGAAATCACACACTCGTTTATCGTGATGATTTTTTGTGTGATGCATAATTTTGTCACATTTTATACCATATTAGTTACAAAAGTTAATTTTGAATATTTTTTGTTATCAATTTAACTCAAGATCTTTTCAAAAAAAAAAATTAACTCAAGATATTCACATCATATGTAACCTTTAATTTAACACATCACTTATTTACTTATAGCTTGACATGTGGGTTGCGGATGCATATTTTTATGTATGGGACCCCATGATATGAATTCGCTGTGTTCGCCCCTAGATACAACCTTATCTGGACAGTTTGAAAATCCATCAAAATCTGCAGGAACCAAATTTCCTTGACTTAGCCTGCAAGTTTCTGTCTTTTTCTTGCAAAAATAATTCTGTCACAATTCACAATGCATCACTAGCCACCCTAAAAGGCACTTTGTAATGATAATGTTTATTCATATCCCACTATTTCCCCCATTTTTTCATCCAAATATTTGGTAAGGTTTATGTGGCTTAAATCAGTTCATACTTTATTAATTCAAAATCAACCCTATCAAACGTGGCATTCTTTTTGGGACGGAGGGAGTCCGTGGCAGATCTGCGATGGACCTGTAACGGGATTTTCATTTTTTCCATCCTGCAAAATCTGCGACGGTTTTTTAAAACCGTCGCAGATCCGCGACGGAATTAGCAACGGAACTGTCCGTCGCAGATCCGCGACAAATATAGCCACGGTCATGTCCGTCGCAGATAACCTGTTGACAGAACCAAAATTTTGCTATTTTCAGCACTACCTATTAAAATGGGGTGTGTGGGGGGCAAAACACATTCAATCTTCACACATATAATTCCAAACAAGATTTCAAACACCCAAATCGATAATTCAAATCTAGATTAATGCAAACTTGAAATGTGAATGTAGCATAATTCATTATTTTCTAACAACAAATATTAAAATGTTAGTGTCAAGTGTTTAATGTTAGACACGATTTTATTATGTGGCCTGAGTTATCATTTATCTAATTAATTGATCATTGACCTAATAAATATCCTACGCATTTATTTGGTAATTATTCGATGGGCGTAATTGCCCTTATGACCTAATTAGGGTTTCCCCTTGGGTGTATATATAGAGGTCATTAGGCAGAGATCAGAACACACCAATCTTACGCCTCCTCTCTGCCTCTCTATTCTCGTGAGTCTCGCCCTCACCTTAGCCATCATAACGATACACCCTAAACGGGAACTCGATCTGCGTGAGAATCATGGCCTCATCCCTAACCACGTTTACAGGATTATCAGGTACACATGATTAAATCCCTAATTTATATTTTATGTTTAAGAATTGATCAACATGTGGTATCGGAGCAATTGTGTTGATTAATCAATTCTTTTGTTTCCCAAAATAAAAAAAACTGGAATTAAAATCAAAATCAGTTTTTTTCACATGGATTAAACAAAAAAATTCGGATCGGAAAGTTTTTCTTTTCTTTTTCCCTAAACCTAACAAAACTGTGATTGATGAGGGTAGATCTTGTTTCCACACTAAAAGCATTCAGCTTTTTTCTAAATTGACTCTTAAAAAGTAATTGGCTTATGTTTCTGAATTCTGATTATGATTAAGCATCAATTTGGTAAATTTATTGTGAGTTCCACCTAATTTTCTTGCAAATCGGATAGTGGTCTGATTCTTCTTTGTGTTTAAATTTGTAATCCATACGTTCAAAAAAAAATATTTTTTTGTGTTTTGATTCCAGTAACTATGAATCTAAATAAATTATTCATGTTCTTCATCCTTATTTTGATGAAATCATCTTATTTTGGTATTTGATTTGGAATATAATTGTGTTTCCTTAAATTATATGGCATATCTCACCTTTGCAGAATATAATCTGTTTCCTTATTTATTAATTTATTTTACTCAGAATAGCAAAACTAAGTAAGAAATATTCTAAAATACCATAAAAAAATTTAAAATGTTTACTTGTTGGAAAATCTCTTGCCTTATATGTCTTTTGATTTTCTAATTAAATTAATCTTAATGGGTCCCCAAAATTTTTGTAGCCCCGCCCCGAATCGCTTTAACTTTTGCGATTAATTAATTACTTACATTAAATTTATAAATCATTTGACTAATTTAAATAAAATTTATTTTATGATTAGTTAAATTGATTTATTTTGCTTGACTTGAATAATACCTTAGAGTACACTTCTGCCCAAAGGTGATGTGTAATATTTGTAAAATTTATTTCAAGTCTTATTAAGCATTGTCATTTAGTACATATCCTTAAATAGATATTTACATGACACTCGCCTTAAATACATAATATTTCACTTCTGTCCAAAGATGATGTGTTATAATTGTGTACTGCGAACTAAATATATATATGTGCATTAAAATTTAAATGTTTCACTTCTGCCCAAAGGTGATGTGTTACATTCAAATTGCACATCATTATTTTATTATTCATAATACTTAAATAAGTGGTCATAACCAAAGTGAAAGTCATTTGTTTAAGTAGAATTAAATTTAGTCTATTATTTTGGTGTTATAATAGACTCTTATCACAGCTTCATTACAAATAATGGTCCTTAACTTCGCCAGCCTTAGTTTATTACCCCTTAACTTCTTTTTTAATTATGTGTCTTATTTCTCTCATCTGAATCCACTATCAGCCCCAAATATGGGAATTGAAACCTTGAATGGTGCGAATTTTTCTTCATGGAAAGATTCACTGATGCTAACTCTTGGCATGTTGGATTTTGATTATGCACTGAGAGAGCTTGCCCCTCCTGCCCTCACAGATAAAAGTACTGCTGAAGATAAAATAGTACATGAGAGATGGGAGAGGTGCAACAGAATGGCTCTTATGCTCATTAAAAATTCCATCAGCATAATCATCAGGGGAGCTATTCCAGATTCATCTAATGCTAAAACATATCTGGCTTCTGTGGAGGAACAATTCAAAGCAACTTCTAAGGCACATGCTAGTACCCTTATTTTGAAGATGGTGACTACAAAATATGACGGGAATAACGGTATTCGTGAGCACATCATGATGATGAACGACATGGCCCGTAAGCTCAAGGGATTAGACATGGAGATCAGTGAAGGTTTTCTAGTGCACTTCATAATGACTTCTCTTCCTGCATCTTTTGAAGCTTTCAAGGTCAACTACAACACCCAGAAGGTCAAGTGGTTGATGAATGAGTTGATTGCTATGTGTGTACAAGAAGAAGAGCGTCTGAAGTTGGACAAACCGGATGTGGCTTACCTCATGACCGCTAACCCAAAGAAGAGGAAGGGCAATGTCGATAAGAAGGATGTTTCTAAAGTCCAAAAACGTGATGCAAGTGTTTCTTCCGGCTGTAAGAACTCCAAAGCGAAGTCTTACTGCAAGTTCTGCCGCAAGGAAGGACATAGACAGAAAGACTGCCAAGACTTTAAGGAGTGGCTGACGAAGAAAGGTAATCATCTTTACATGATACTTGAGTCCTTTAATTTAAATGTTCCAACTAATACATGGTGGTTTGACTCTGGTTCTATGGTTCATGTAACCAACTCACTTCAGGGATTCCTTACAATCCAGAAGCTGGAAAGAAACCGAAGAACACNATGAGTCCAAGCGCTTACTCTCGCGTAACTTTGACATGAAAGATCTCGGAGAGGCTTCTTATGTTATTGGCATCGAAATACACCGAGATAGAGTCAATGGTATTTTGGGATTATCTCAAAAGGCTTACATTGAGCGTGTCCTTACACGCTATAACATGCAACATTGCTCTCCTTCTGTGGCTCCAGTAGTTAAGGGAGATGTTTTCGGTTTATTTCAATGTCCGAAAACAAAGGTTGAAAAGGAATAGATGAGAATGATACCTTATGCGTCAGTAGTAGGAAGCCTTATGTATGCACAAGTCTGTACTCGTCCAGATATCGCTTACATTGATGGAATGTTGGGTCGTTATCAGACTAATCCTGGTCTTGATCACTGGAAAGCAGCTAAGAAAGTTCTTCGATATCTACAAGGGACAAAACTGATTCTGATTTTAGAAGCAGACTAAACTGACTTACAGAAGGAGTGATAATTTAGAAGTGGTTGGTTATTCTGATTATGATTTTGCTAAGTGCAAAGATGACAAGAAATCCACTTCAGGGTATATCTTTATGTTAGCTGGCGGACCTATCTCATGGAAGAGTCATAAGCAAGAGTTGACTGCAACTTCTACAATGATGGCAGAATACATTGCGGTGTACAACGCAACCTGTCATGGGATGTTGCTCAGAAACCTCATCACTGGACTCAAAGTAGTTAATTCTATCTCTCGACCATTGAAGCTTTATTGTGATAACTCAGCCGCCGTTAGTTTCTCGAACAGTAACAGTTCGACTAGCGCTGCTTTATATCTTGATACAAAGTACTTGTTCGTACGTGAGGAAGTTGAGGAAAATAAACTTTGTATTGAGCATATAAGTACTAAGAATATGCTTGCGGATCCGATGACTAAAGGTCTCCCTCCTAAGATTTTCGAAGAACATGTTTCGAAGATGGGGTTTTCTAAAGACCTTATTTAGTTGCATATTGTACTTGCTTACATTTAATAATAAAATTTCCTCATTGTTTTGTTTGTTTTGTCTCTGAATGTGTCTATGCATGCCTAAAGACATATAGACAACATTTATATACAAAATAATGTTATGGGCTTAATTCTCAATTTGATCCTTAGCTTATTTAAGTTTTAAATTTGGTATTGTAGTATGATTAATGGGGATCTTGAATTGAATATTGATTCAATGACTGTATTTCTCTGCTACAATTTCGGTTTAGAACTAAAATGAGTATTAAAATCTGATCAGACTTATCTAATACTCATCATAAATGATTACTCGGCCAAGTGGGAGAATGTTAGACACGATTTTATTATGTGGCCTGAGTTATCATTTATCTAATTAATTGATCATTGACCTAATAAATACCCTACACATTTATTTGGTAATTATTCGATGGACGTAATTGCCCTTATGACCTAATTAGGGTTTCCCCTTGGGTGTATATATAGAGGTCATTAGGCAAAGATCAGAACACACCAATCTTACGCCTCCTCTCTGCCTCTCTATTCTCGTGAGTCTCGCCCTCACCTTAGCCATCATAACGATACACCCTAAACAGGAACTCGATCTGCGTGAGAATCATGGCCTCATCCCTAACCACGTTTACAGGATTATCAGGTACACATGATTAAATCCCTAATTTATATTTTATGTTTAAGAATTGATCAACATTTAAAATGGAGGAAACTAAGGTCGTAAATGTCTCAACAAATCCCGATCTGCCATGTCCCTCTTGTTCCATCATCATCACCTCGTCGAGGAAGGTTACCACCATATAACTTCCTTATCTCCTCCTGAATCGTCTGTGACAAGTTCGAGGTTAGACTATCAATTTGTTCCTGCAACCTTTGGTTTTGCTCTTTGAGTGCTGATATCTCCGCTGTGCTTCTACTACTCGTGCGGGAACGGCGAGGTTTGGAGGACGGATTCATTTTCCTCATTTCCCGCTCGTCGTCACCAACTCCAGGAACACGGTTCTTCGCGTTATGGCCCTCAACTAGCGAGTACCATATTTCTTCATCGGTGACTTGCAGCCCATTCTGTGTAGCCTCCTCGCACAGTTCGAAGAATTGAGCCTGAAATACATGATAGTTAATACCACACAACAACGCAATAATCATAGCACATTAATAAAAACAACAAAAACAAGAACACAAGAACTTACACCGTTGATTCTCCCCATGACATACCCAATCAAAATAATTGGGTGTGAATCCAAACCGCAAAATGTGCTCCAGCATATTCTTTGATGAGCAAAACTTGATGTTCTTACATTTCTTGCAAGGACATCGCATTTTCTTGTTATCCAACCTATCTACATTGGGACTTGACTCACAGTACTCAACAAACTCAACCACGTTGTCCACCCATTCTTGACTAACAACACCTTCTCTCTCATATTTCTTATACATCAACTCATGATTTTCGAATGGACTCGTTTTAGAAATGCATGATAATTAAAAAGCAGCAAACAACAATCATTTAACCAAAAATATCAACCATATTTACTACCAACAACCTTGGCAACAATAAAGGCGGATAACAAACGGCAATCTTATTAAGCCACAAACAACAATCATTCAACTACAAATATGAACGTATAATGCACTCAATTTCACGAAATTCAACTAAATTTTACCTAAATTCTCAATAAACTCCAAATTCACTCACACAATTTCAACTAAAATTAAACCTTAAATGCCATCAATTTCACCAAAAAGTAATGCAATTTTAACCAATTTTATGTCAATTTCATTTCATATTCACACAATTTCAACTATATTTCACCAAAAATGCACTCAATTTCACACAAACAAATTCAATTGCACTAAAAATTACAAAAATAATAACAATAATAATAAATTGTGTAAAATTAAAAAAAATACCTCCAAGTTCGAGAACGGAGGGCGCGACGACGAGGGGTGGCGACGGCTTGTGGAGGGCACGGCTGGGGGGACGGCGTGGCTGGGCGAACGGCATGGCTGAAGGGTCTGACGTGGGTGGCGACGACGGCGGGGCTGGCGAAGACGTGCGTCGGCAGCGAGGACGGGCGACTAGCGGTGGCGGAGGGCTGGCGTTAGAAGGACGGGAGAGAGAATTGGGATTAGGGTACTGACGGATGAATGGCTAGGAAAAAACCAATCTCGATTTTTTAGTAATAATCTGCGATGGAAAAAACAGTCCGTCGCAGATAATCAGGTCAAAATTTGACCAATTTGAATTTGTGACAAAAGATAATACGCCGTCGTAGATTTGCGATGGATTTCGTTTCTCCGTCGCAGATGTTGCGTCTCTTTCATGAATTATTTCCCCCTCGCTGATTCGTTGCAGATCCGCTACGGAAAGTGTTCCGTAGCAGACTTCTGTTGCAGACCAGACAAATTCTTGTAGTGATTTTCATCTTCACCGGCCTCCCTCATCTTCGTCTTTGCCACCCCTGATCTCTTCCTCTACGTCATTGTTGCCATCCGTCATCTCCTTTCCTCCACATCGCCCATCTAGTCTCTTTCGTACGAAGTGCAACCCCAGCTCCTCTCTCCCCAGCACCCATGTCCTTTGCCTCATTACAACCGTTGTCTAAATTTCCATTGTTGTTGTCCGCATCGTGACCCATGCCAACTCCTAACGCCGTTCTTGTTCGTCTTCCCCTTAGAAGCTTCTCGACGACAACTACTAGGGCTATGCAGCATTGTATTTGGTAGAGTATATAGTCTTTAATGAGCCTAAATCATAAGCTTGAGGTTGTAGTTGAGTCAATTTTTTTACTTGTACCAGAGCTTCAATTTGTTGATCAAGAGGTTGCAAGTTCAAACATCACCACCACTCAAATTTAAAAAATTAATGTCCACATGCAAGACTTGAGCAAAAACAATATATTTTTACTTGCACGCGAGGAAGCATGTTAGAATCTGATCGTAAGGCTAGATGACTCCATGTACTCCGAATATGATTATCAGGAATATTTGGGTTGAATTGGGTTTTGTATTACAATTTTATGCTCCCTCCTTCCTCAATTTGATTACAATTTTATTTTCTCTCTTTTTGATAATTTTTGTTTATTTATATATTTTCATTGTTTATTTGATAAAACAAAATATTTTTGTCATCTTCTATTCTGTAAAATTTTAGACGTAGTTTTTAAATGTGTAATTTTTAATTCTTATTGATATACAAATTTGTAAATAAAATAATTTTAAAAATCATAAAATTTCACCTCATAATTTTTATTTTATAATCAAAATTGGGATGGTGGGAGTATAAGTCATTCCCCCACCTTTTCCCCTTTCCCCAAACTCCGCCCGCGCCGAAAGCCGCCGATCCTCCGCGAGCCCGTTAAGCCGCTGCTCGCCGAGTTGCCACTGCTTTATCAATGGAAATCCTTCATCTCAATGTTCTTTTTACTTAGATTTTTTTCAAGGTAAATACTTGGTATTTGTTTATGGTATGTGAATTTGTGATTTGTGTATTGTGAACTATGAATTCGTGGATTTGTGAACTATGAATTACTCCATAAATGGAAAATCATAATCAAATTTGGAACGGAGGGAGTATGAATTAAATGCAACTTGTAAATTTGGGGCCTTACGAATTACGTTTGGATTGATTGATTAGTGATGGAAATCATTTGTTATTTGTTTCGAGCTGGTATGGTGTTGTCTGGCACATTGGTTAAAGTAGTAATTTTAGTAGTTCTTATTGGCTAATCTTGATTTTTATTGATGTTATTTGTTTCTAGGTTAATGTTGTTTTTTATGCCCGAACTTTGATTTTGCTGAATTAATACTTTAGTAGAGCTCAAAAGTGATGAAGATTCAATTCATAATGTTGTTTATTTTGTTCTAGCAAGGTAGAACATAAAACATTGTCTGCTTTAGTAAATAGCTCTGCGTATACAACAATACACTTCCGGAAATCACATACTCGTTTATCGTGATGATTTTTTGTGTGATGCATAATTTTGTCACATTTTATACCGTATTAGTTACAAAAGTTAATTTTGAATATTATTGGTTATCAATTTAACTCAGGATATTCACATCATATGTAACCTTTAATTTAACACATCACTTATTTACTTATAGCTTGACACGTGGGTTGCGGATGCACATTTTTATGTATGGGACCCCATGATATGAATTCACTGTGTTCGCCCCTAGATACAACCTTATCTGGACAGTTTGAAAATCCATCAAAATCTGCAGGTACCATATTTCCTTGATTTAGCCTGCAAGTTTCTGTCTTTTTCTTGCAAAAATAATTCTGTCACAATTCACAATGCATCACTAGCCACCCTCAAAGGCACTTTGTAATGATAATGTTTATTCATATCCCACTATTTCCCCCATTTTTTCATCCAAATATTTGGTAAGGTTTATGTGGCTTAAATCAGTTCATACTTTATTAATTCAAAATCAACCACATCAATTTGTTTTCCCAAAAATAGTTAGACATAAGGACTTTTATGCAATATTTACTTAAGAAAAAGATGGAGTTTAGTTAGAAGGAGGAAATTTGAGCTCTAACTGCAGTTTGTGTGACAAAGAGTGGAGTAAGCACGTGTATTCACTCTCATAGAGATCCCATGTGTAGCATGATTGCCTCATAGCTTAGTTGCTACAAGTCAAACTTGAGTTTACCTTTTTTGGCACCCTTTTATCAGCAAGTTGTGCCACATTCCGGCATTTCACAACATTTACTTCTTGAGATAAGGAACTACAAATTGTACATTCCTTGTCATGGCGCATGGCGACATTCAAGGCGATGGGCCAATATCGCATGGCGATGGCGCATATATGGCGTTGCACAAGACACTTGTCAGAGTATTAATTTACTAATATTTGCACATGTATAAGGAATATATTCTATAAAAAACAATAGATTACTTGATCTAAAAAGTGAAGTAGTAAAACACAAATGAAAAGTCATTCCAAATCCAAAACACTAAGGGTCCATGGTGCCAATAGTAAAACAACACAACTTAATCAAAACTTAAAAATAATTCAAAAATTAAATGTGAAAACTTAGTCTCGCAATTTATGATATAAGTATCTAATAATCACATTCCTGATCGTCATCTTTGTCTGAATCCAATAATAATGGCACGTCTTCTTCATTGATTTCTGATACCTGCAAAGGGAAGGGGAAGGCTGTGGCACAAAGGCTGTGCGCAGCTAGGGTTTTAGGAGGGAGGAAAAAACGAGAGAGAGAAGCGAATTTGGGAGAAAGAGTAATTCTTATTGCTTGTGTTGCTGAAAGGACCTAACATCCTTTAAATAATAGTTGGTTTCTCCCAATCCTAGTTGAACTAAGTTATCTATCCTGTCGGTTCAAAGAAAAGCGACGAGGTAAAGAACCGAAAAGAAACCCTCGAAGGAGCTTATATTTTGCTCACCTAACAAAATCTAAATTACAATAAATTAAAACAGAAAAGAATTAAATATAATCTGCATAACGTTTCGGGGCTTGAACGGACCGCTTCGGGCGAACACGTCGTGGAGCCGAGTGGTCTGTTGGGGTGGTCTGGTCAGAAACAACCCCGTATCAACCCTCCCGGGGTCGGAAACGGCCTTGTCCTCAAGGCCAAGATCAGGGTAATGGCGGCGGATGTCTACAACTGGTTCCCACGTACTGTCTTCCGGGCCGCCATCCGACCAACGAATCAGCCATTGGTCCTGCGGGAGGCCATCCACCAGAATGGTCCGTGCATCGAGCACCTTAATGGGAACTGAAATGGGGCGGCCCTTATAAAAATCATTCGGTAAGGAGACTGGCAGGAGAGTGTCGCCGGTTTGCACAAAGGGCCGCAATAAGGAGACATGGAATACATCATGGATACGACTGCCCGGCGGAAGTTGTAAACGGTACGCTACGGGACCAACCCGCTCAAGAATGGGAAAAGGCCCATAAAACCGCCGAGAGAGCTTTGTGGAGAGAGGTCGGGCGATGGAGTGTTGACGGTATGGCCGGAGCTTCAAAAGAACCAAATCGCCGATAGCATAAGTAACCTCCCGGCGATGAGCATTGGCCTGCTGGGTCATTCGCTGCCGCATGGTGGCCAAGTGATTCTTCAAATCAGTGAGCAATTCGGCGCGGTCACGTAAGAGCTCCTCCACCAAAGCCACGCGCGAGCGAGTTGAGATCGTCGGAAAGAGGGAAGGCGGTAGGCGGCCATAGACAAATGCACGTAGATATTGTTCCAAGCTTCGATTGAGGACTTCCGTCTGGCCATCTGTCTGCGGGTGATATGCTGTACTAAATTTTAATGTGGTGCCGCTGAGACGCATCAACTCCTTCCAAAAGAGGCTCATAAAGATTGAGTCGCGATCGGAGACAATATCGGCGGGGAACCCATGGTGTTTGACAACAATATCAAGAAAGAGCTGAGCCACCCGAGGTGCATCAAAGTCGGCAGGCAAGGCACCAAAATGGGAATACTTGGTGAGACGATCAACGACAACGAGAATGGCTGAAACCCCTCTGGACGGTGGAAGGCCGGTGATAAAATCCATAGATGCGGACTCCCAGACTTGGTCCGGTATGGGCAGCGGCTGAATAAGGCATGCGGGCTTACGGGTGGAATATTTGGTAGTCTGACACGCCAAACAGGCTGCCACAAAACGGCGTACGTCCGCTTGCATGGCAGGCCAATAGAAGGTGGTGATGAGGCGGCGGAATGTGCGTTCTACACCCTGGTGCCTAGCCATCGGGGAGCTGTGGTACTCGGTGAGCAGCTGGTGACGAAGGAAAGAGGTTGACGCCAGGACCAGTCGGTGTTGATAATAGAGGATGCCGGAATGGGCTGTAAACCCGGGGTGTGCTGTTCTAGCAGCCACGGCTTCATAAAGCCGGAGGAGTTCCTGTTCAGTTGTGTTCTCTGCAGCAATGGCTTCTAAGAGTTTGGGCAGTGGCCGTGCATAGGTCGTGAATAGGGCTGCAACCTCGGTGTCATCTCCACGTCGTGATAAAGCATCCGCGGCCCGGTTAGAGGCCCCTGTCTTGTATTCGATCTGAAACTTATACCCCATGCATTTGCGGATATAGAATTATTGATCCGGAGTTTGGACGACCTGAGAAAGAAGTTCCTTGAGGCTGCGCTGGTCACTTCGAATAACAAACTCTCGACCTAGCAAATATTGACGCCATTTTTGTACCGCCCCAATAATTGCATATAATTCCTTGTGGTACGTGGAGGCCATACGTCGTCGGGGCCCCAATTTTTTGCTAAAAAAGGCTAATGGGTGTCCTTGCTGTAACAACAATGCGCCCACCCCAAAATCTGAGGCATCGGTCTCCAAATAGAAAACCTGGGAGAAATCAGGGAGGCGTAAAATAGGGGCCGTGGTCATTGCCTGTTTCAAAGCCTCAAAACTGCTGTCGGCGTGGGTATCCCACTGGAAGCTATCCTTTTTAAGAAGATCGGTCAGCAGGGCGGCAAGGACGGCATATCCGGCGACGAACCGGCGGTAATATCCAGTCAAGCCGAGAAAAGCCCGAAGTTGGGTGACGGTTGTGGGCTTCGACCAGGCCACCATGGCCGCAGTTTTGTCCGGGTCGAGCTTTAGTTCTCCTCCCTCAATTAAATGGCCCAAGTACCCAATTTGGGTTTGGAAAAAAGAGCACTTCTGCATCTTGATGAAAAAGGAATGTAGCTGGAGTGTCTCCAATACCGTGGCTAAATGTTGGACGTGCGCTTCTGTCGTGGGACTACAGACAAGGATGTCATCGAAAAACACAATCACGAATTGCCGTAGGTGTTCCCGAAATAAGCTGTTCATAGCGGCTTGAAATGTGGAGGGTGCATTGGTAAGGCCGAAGGGCATAACCAGAAATTCGTAGTGCCCGTCATGTGTTCGGAATGCGGTTTTGAAAATATTGTCCGCATGCATGCGAATTTGGTGATAGCCTGACCTCAAATCAAGCTTGGTAAACACCCGAGCCGACCCTAGTTCATCAAATAATTCATCCGAGGTCGGTATGGGAAAGTGATCTGGAACCGTAGCTGTATTAAGGGCGCGGTAGTCGATGCAAAACTGGAAAGTACCATCCTTTTTGCAGACGAGTAGCACTGGAGAAGAGAATGGGCTTTGACTTGGTCGAATAATGCCCTGTTGGAGTATGTCCCTCACTTGCCGTTCAATTTCGGCTTTTTGGAAGTACGGATAACGATAAGGCCGGACATTGACCGGGCGGGTGCCAGGAGGGAGGTAAATACAATGGTCCCAGAAGCGTGCGGGTGGCAGTCCCGTGGGCGTCCCGAATACAGGCGCATGATGGGTGAGCAAGGACCGGATGGGATCCGGCAGGTCGGCGGGGAATTGAGGATCTGCGGCCGTGACCTGCGGCTGTTCCATAGGTGTACCCACCACTTCGTAAAGGTCCACTGGCTCGGGGGTAGCAAGGAGGGCGCTTAACTGATTGTATGACACAGGGCGTGGTCCAGGAGAGTCGTCGCGTAACGTGATGGTGTCGCCATTCCAACTGAATTCCATGGTTAATTTAGCATAATCGTGTGCCACTTTGCCTAGAGTTTGCAACCATTGAATGCCGAGGACAATATCGGGACCATGGACCTCGAGCATAAACAAGTCAATTTCAAAGAGTTGGCCCTGCAGAGATACCGGCGTACGGGGGCAACTGTAAGAGCAGCGAAGGGAGTCACCATTACCCACATACACACGGAAGGGCGTCACGGGATGAAGGACCAGGGCGAGGCGTTCGGCCACACCGGGGTGGATGAAGTTGTGGGTGCTCCCACTGTCCAAGAGAACCTGGACGGATGCCCCGTTGACGGATCCGGCCAATTTGAGGGAACGGGGACTCGGGCTCCCGGACATAGAGTGAATACTGGACACGTCACCGAAGATGACGGGAGTAAAGTCGTCCTGGTCCGCGGGGCTGTCATCTGTAAGGGGCGGATCTTCGGAGTCGGGACCCATAAGCACCAAGAATCGTCGTCGACAATTATGAGATCGATCCCACTTTTCATCACAATACCAGCAAAGGCCTTTTTTGCTACGTTCTGCTTTCTCGGCGGTGGAGACGACCACCACGGGTAATGAAGAGGGTGAGGGACGGTCTGCCTGACGATTCTCTGTGGAGTTCGGTCGTGCATGCATTGAAGGAGGCGGAAGGATACCAGCAGCGGCCGAGGGTGGCGGCCGATTGGACCAGGGCCTTCGTGACGGAGGAGCAAACGCCGTGGCTGCCTCTTGATGGCAGGCGGCCAGTTCACGAGCCAAGGCGAAAGCCGATTGCAACGTGGTAGGGTTACGGAGGTTCACCTCTCTCTGGACAGGTTGCTTCAAGCCGGCCACAAACATGGATATTAAAGTTGCCTCTGGGACTCCGGAAACTTTATTCAACAGGGACTCAAAGTCTGTCTCATAGTCCAAAACTGAAGATGTCTGGGTTAATTTGGATAAGAGACCCACGTAATTTTCATAATAGTGAGGGTCAAAACGATGCTGGACGGCGACCAAAAAATCTGCCCATGTCGCGCCGTACGTGTTGGATTGGTAGTAGTGAAACCAATCAGATGCCGGGTGATCGATGAGCATGGCGACCAGCTGTAGGCGCTCAGGTTCCGGCGTGAGGAAGTAGTCGAAATACTTTTGGATTCGGAAAATCCAGCCCGTCGGGTCATCGCCCGAAAAACGGGGAGCGTCGATGCGCATGCGGGGCACGGGATCGGCGCTGCCGGAGGTGGTCCGAGAGGGTGGCGGACGCCAGCCCATGAACGTCGGCCGACGTGGATCAGCCGTCTCGTCGACTTTGGCAGTGGCAAGTTCTATCACCCGGGCTTTTGTGGCATGCAAGTCTTTCCGGATGTCGGTGATGGCATGCATAATATCGTCAAGCGTCAACGCAGAGGTTGGAACGTCGGATGAAGCCATGAGATCGAGAATGAGAGCACCAATATGATACCTGCAAAGGGAAGGGGAAGGCTGTGGCACAAAGGCTGTGCGCGGCTAGGGTTTTAGGAGGGAGGAAAAAACAAGAGAGAGAAGGAGAATTTGGGAGAAAGAGTAATTCTTATTGCTTGTGTTGCTGAAAGGACCTAACATCCTTTAAATAATAGTTGGTTTCTCCCAATCCTAGTTGAACTAAGTTATCTATCCTGTCGGTTCAAAGAAGAGCGATGAGGTAAAGAACCGAAAAGAAACCCTCGAAAGAGCTTATATTTTGCTCACCTAACAAAATCTAAATTACAATAAATCAAAACAGAAAAGAATTAAATCTAATCTGCATAACGTTTCGGGGCTTGAACGGACCGCTTCGGGCGAACACGTCGTGGAGCCGAGTGGTCTGGTCAGAAACAACCCCCGTATCAATTTCACAATCAGATGGGTCTTCAATAGTAAGATCTTCAATATCATCTTCATTAACTTCTTGAACCACCGGATTACTTGTAGATGCTCGTGTTTCGCGACCAACAGGCTCATTTAAACCAAGTGCTTCTTCAACAACGTCCCAATTCTGAACTTCATTTTCCTCTGCTGCTATATCAATCCATTCATTACAATCCTCAAAATCATCTAATGATATCTTCATTTTCTTACAAGCAGGATCTTGAAGACGCTGATTTTGTCGAATATACACCAAATCATTCATTTGTTTGAACGTGGGCAATAACTTTGTTCGCTTCTTTGTTTGAACCTAGGCATAAAAAATTAAAATTATAGTTTTGGTTATATATATATATATATATATATATATATATATATATATATATATATATATATATATATATATATATATATAGGTTAATTAGGTATAAAAACGAGTAATTTAAAACGCATCGTCAAAATCTTACATTTTCAAAGGTACTCCAGTTCTGTTCACATCCAGAAGCACTGCACGTTAAACTAAGGATACGCACGGCAAATTGTTGCAAAGTGGGAGAGGATGAGCCGTTTGCAAGCCACCAATCAACTACAATACAACAAAATTGCCTTTGTGAGTTCATTTAAATCTTAATTAAAATGCCCAAAAAATAAAAATGTTGATTGCGTACCAGGTGATTGCTTATCCCTAGTGTTGATTGCCATATTTGTTTGAAAACTACCCCTTGCATTCGTGTATTTCAATATCTCATTAGAGAACTGCAAACTCCCTACAATGTCAGGATGCAGTATTTTCTCCACACATTTTGTGAATCCGTCACATACTTCTTCATCTGCAAGAATTTGACGTGCATTTGGATAGAACAATTGAGGATTTAAATAGTATCCTGCAGCATGTAATGGAGAATGTAGGTTGTCATCCCAATGCTTATCAATGATCTTCCAAATTGGCAGGTACTTTTTTTCTTGCCCACAGAGGGTATTTTTTATGCATATTTTTGCCCTCTCCATTGCTTCATAAATAAACCCCATGGGGGGCACATCTCCATCCACAATTCTTAAAACCTTCACTATGGGCAAAGAAATTTTCATAACTAAAGCCACATTCTTCCAAAAAGATTGCCGGTAGATTGTTTCAGAACATGTTTTGCCTTCATTCGTCTTTGCAAAATCAGTTTCATACCATTTAGGGGAAGCAAACATTGTTCTGAGTGCATGCTTTTGAGTAAGGAGGCATTGCAAGGTTAAGAAATTTGTAGCAAATCTTGTTGCACCAGGCCTCACTAAATCTCTTCCATCAGTGAATTCCTTCATCACATCTACCAAAAGAGTGTGGTTGTAAATATAGGTAGTGATGCTCTGCGCTGTCTTAACTGTTCTCTGAATAATTGGCATCTTCTTTGAAAAATCTTCCAAAATAAGATCAAGACAATGAGTAGCACATGCAGTTGCAAATATATGGGGGTACCGTTGCTCCATCATCGTCTTTGCGAGTCCAAAAATTTTTGCATTGTCTGTGACAATTTGAACCACATTGTAAGGGCCAATTTCTCGAATCCATTGATCAAACAGCTTGAAAATTGCAGGACCAGTCTTTTTATAAGAAGAAGCATCTATTGCTCTCATAAAAACAGTGCCTTTCCTAGAATTGACGTAGAAATTCACAAGAGTACGATGCCTTTTATCGGTCCAACCATCAGACATGATGCTACACCCATCCATGGCCCATACTTTCTTGTGTTCCTTGATCAAATCATCTGTTTTCTCTACTTCTTTCAGCAAAAATTTTTCTCTGACCTCATGATAAGTGGTGCCTGAAATCCAGCCCCAAACCTACCAATCTTTTCGAGCGTTTCTTTGAACAATGGATCCCGAACCACATTAAATGAGATGCAATTTTGATACATCCACAAAGATAAGCTTTGAGCAAGTTCCTCTCTTTCTTTGCTTTTCATTTGGATGGAATTGTTGTTTGCACCACGGATACTTTATGTTTCTTAGTCGGATAAACAAACTTGTCCATTGGGCCGCTGCCTCCGCCCACATCTTTCTGAGAAGCACCCTCTCCAAGGAGTTCATCATCATCCGATATTATTTCTTCGGCTTCTTTCCCTGTTGCATAGGTGCTCCGAAAGGTATTTTCTACCACGTTCACTCCTTTGGAATTTGTCTCTTGCAAAACCAAGTCTCGGAGCCTTGCCTTTAACTCTTCCGGAACTAGAGGACATTTCTTGGTGTTACGATGCCCTCCTATGAGATGTTGTTTGAATCTTGTAATCCCACCTCTACTTATGTGGCCACAAAATTTGCACACCAAATCATTGTTGGAGTTTGGTTTGAGCTTCGTGCAGTACTCCCAAGCAAGAGAGACAGATATGGGTGTGCATTATTCGGTCCGGACCGGACCGACCCGAAACCCGACCAAAACCGGACCAAACCGGTCCGGACCGGTCCTTATTCGGTCCGGTCTCCGGTCCAGTCTGGTCCATCGGGTTTCGGTCCGGACCGGTGGACCGGTTAGATTTTATTTTTTTAAATATTTTTTTCTTTATAAGTTTATAATATTGTATTTTTTAAGGTTTTTTCTTATACTTAAAATTAGTTTAACTTTAATGCTAAATTTCTTTTAAATGTTTTGATTTTATTATTTAATATAATTTTTTAAATACATTTCAATTCAAAATAATATACCAATTGTAATAATTTTTAAATATTTTTAATATGAAAAGTGTGAAAAGGTAAACATTAATGCATTTCAAATTTATGTACCAATAATATAACTTAAATTTATACTTTATCAATAATAAAACTCTAATCCGCAGAACAAACATTGTAAACAATCTCATGAACAAAAATAGTAAACAATGTAACTGTTTGTCAAAATAAATCGAAAACTCAAAAAAATATTACAAAAAAACAAAAATGCACTAAGAAGAAGAATATTCCATATGCAAAATAAAAATTATGAACATATTTTATGTAATACGGATAAAAAAATTCAAAACAATTGTGTTTGATAATGTTTAGTGTATGTTACAATTATAAATTAGTTGTAGTAATATTTTTATTCAATTAAATACTTTAAATTAAATAAATAAAATCAAATCTAAAAAAAATTAAAAGTAACCTTTATTCGGTCCGGTCCCGGTCCCGGTCCGGTCCTTAGCTTAATCGGTCCGATACTCGGTCTACCAAATGCTCCTTATTCGGTCCCGGTCCGGTTTTGCGTGTCGATTGGGATTTGGGAATCGATTGAGAAGATTAAAGGGCTGGAGACTAGTAATTAAAGGTTTAATTTCTTTATTGGGCCTAATTTATTAAATTTGGGTCGGGTTAAATTAAAAAAATGGCGTGAGAATGGCGATGGCGTGGCGATTTGGCGCTGCCACAAGACAATCGACCGCCACTGCCCCAATTCATGGCGTTTCGGCTCCAGATCGCCAATGGCGCATCTATGGTGCGCGCCATTTGCGTCATCGATAACTATAACATTCAAGTATTGTATGATTTGTATGAGCAAGTACCACTGTACCAAATTAGGTGAAATTTTGTGATTACAAAAAGCATATGGTATATTGGTACTATTACTTGTTTAATGCTTTTGATGCATTGTTTTATACTCCGTATGTCAATTGTGATTTGATAAAACAAATTACATTCCTGCTCCTTAACAGGGGCGGAGCCAGTAAGGGGAGCAACTGACGGCAATCTGGAAATTTTGGCTAAACCTAAAACGACGTCGTTTTAGGGGTTGGACATAAAAAATCAGCTGCCAAATACTCCCTCTGTCCCTCATAGATCTTCTCAATAGCCCTTTTTCTTTGTAGACAATAAATCTTCTCATTTCATTTTTAAACAATTAAAATACCACAACTACCCCCACTTATTTTATTTATTACACCTCACCACCACATTTAATACATTCCACCCATTTTTCATTAAGGATATTATAGTAAACTTTCACCTTTTTTAACTCTCTTGTATCCCTTAAATCCTATCCTTAAATCTCAAATCTCAATTCTTCCTTTCAATTTGTATTTTTTAGCATCTACCAATCCATAATCTGCGATTAATCTCTCAATCTCCATCGGAAATTAATCTGCAATTCAATCTCCTAGGGCGATTAATCTTCAATTTGTAATTTCAGACACCGGCGGGCAACGAAGTGACGGACCTATTCAGTCGGTGGTCCGGTAGTGCTGAGACGGCGGAGGGGCGGTTGGCAATTGGTTCGTCACTCTTCAAGTCCTCAATTTTACCAGGTTTTATCTTATTTTTAAAAATTAAAAAGATGGGTTACTGATTTTTTTATTTTTCTTATTATTTTATTCAAAAAGATGATTTATGTTTGATATATTCTGAGAAATTACCAAAAACAGAATGTGTGGATTGTTGAGGACATCACAAAGATGGTAACTTTTTTTCGGAGTGTAGATTGATTTTAGTAAAAAAAAATGTTGAAACTCTTCACAGAGTGGTAAAAAGAAATTATGCAATTTTGGTATTTTAGCTGTCCTTTTCCTTGCCTCTTTTGTGTAGTGTAGCTCCATCAGTAACATATTCTTCTATGTAGAATCTGAATTATTCTTTTGGCTTTTCTTGTGTAGATAAATTAGTGGATAAAAATCATGTCTTTTGATTGTTTTTTAGGTTGTCTCTTGTTCTTGACTTGGGATTAGCTTCTCTGCTTAATCTAGATTTTGAGCTTCATTACCATTTGACAGTATAAATAGATCCTTTCTGTTAAAATGCTGGGTAAATTGTTTGTTCATTCATGCTAACAATTTAATAGTGTACATTAATTTATTTGTCTTTAATTTTTTCTCGCCCCTACTCTATGAATTTCCTGGCTCCGCCCCTGCTCCTTAAGTTTACTACTTGCATCGTTCACATTCTTATTTGATGCTTTGTGTGTGGTGTGCCCTCTTTGGGCAAAAGACTAATGGAAAAACTAATGGAAGGACCTAGTGTGTTTTTTTAAAACTAAAATTTATATAGCCAATAACTAGAGCAAAATCCGCCTCCTTGAAACTAGTAAAAGGTTTAGTCGCATGGACATAGACAAAGAGATCATATTTTCGGGAAAGCTTTTAGTTGTTTGAGTTAATTTTTTGTGTCAGCCGAGTGGTAGTTGTTCCAAAAAAACTAAAGACCAAGTTTCTTTTCTTTTCGTGAGGAGAGATAGGAGCAGATAGGGGATCAGGTATTTGTTCAGGTAGGGGAGAGGGGTATTAATCAACATAGCTTTATAAAGCAATACTTAAATAATAGTTTGAAGGGTATTGTTGGCATTTCGCCTCTTTTTTTTACCTAAGCAAATTTGTAAAGCCTTCCTTGCACCTTTTTTTTTGCAGACTGAACTTTTACAACAGTTGCTCCTAAAAGCTTTAAACATCAGTTCCAAAATGCTTATTTTTTTTCTTCTGTAAACCAACTTCTCATGCCCAAAAGTCTCTTATTCCACATAGAGCTTCCCAAAGAGCTGGTTGTCATGCACCCCACAGGCTGAGAGTCATCTGAAGCTTACTATGTTTCTAGACTAGACCTAATGATTGGCGGACATTCTTGTTTGAACCTCTCTGTGTGTGTTTAAATCACATAAGCACTAACTATAACAAAACTCACATCTTTAAAAGGAGACAGGAGTAAAATGTCTTCACTATTTAGATTCTGAATATATAGCCATGTGATTATCCCATGTTTTAATGTTTTTTCTTGCGTTTAAAATGGTTGCAAATGCTTCAATGTTCATCAACTGTAACTGTGTTCTGGCAAGACTGTACTTATATGCTTAACATGCAACAACTCCCCCTAAATGAAACATTATTTTTTTCCAACTTTTTTTTGGCAGCTGAAAATTTGTTATTAATTAATACTACTAATATTTTCTTTTTCAGTATGCCAGTGATGTCGTTATATTTATGTTTTTTTATAGTTGACAGCTTATTCTTTTTTCCTCTTTATCTTTTTAGAAATCATCCTAAATAGGACTAAAACATAGAAAAAAGTACCAAAATAGGACTTTCATGTTTTTTTTCCCGGAATAGGACTTTGCATTGTGGTAATGTGATTTTGCATTGTGGTAATGTGGCAGTGTACATGTGCAAATTACTATACTTTTTTGGTAATGTATATGACCATGTTTCGTAATGTAAGTCCTATTTCAGGAATAAAAACGTAGAAGTCCTATTTTGGTATATTTTCAATGTTTTAGTCCTAGTTTGGTCTTTCTCCCTTATCTTTTAGCATAACTTCAATTATCTTATCTATTCTTTTGTATAAAGTTCCTGCTTTTGCACGTTTTCTACACATTTCTATCTTATCTAATTTGTTTTCTTGTTTTATTCATAGTTTTAGTTCCAACTTCCAAGTCAATCATACGTTGTTCTTAAAAGGATGTTCTCATATTGTGAAGTAATTATTCAACCCACTTTCCCTTTTTATCCGAAGACTTGCAACAGATTACAGAGTATTTTTTTGTTACTCTCTATTTTCTACTCTCATGTTTGGTGTTTCTGCTCTAAACTTCTTGTGTTTGTGACTTTGTGTTGATATAAGTGGACCTTTCATTGTTTGTGATTTTACTCATAAATTGTGTTTCGTTCTCCTCGAATGTGTTTTAAGAATAAAATTGTGCACATTTAAATGGTTTTATTTAGTTGTAAAATGAGGTAATAGTAATTTTCTGCGAAATATTTTGGTGCAAAACGGTTTTCCAATAATGTTGTAAATGCATTATTTTCTTTAAACTGTGAAACTGTAACAGTTTACAAAGATCATGTAAGTAATTGAATGATTTTGTGTAAGTAGTCAACTAAAAATGCACTCCCCCATTCCATTATATTCTTAACTATTTGAATTTACAGAGTTTAAAAAAGTTGTTGCAAAGTAAAAAGTGTAGGGTCAAGGCACAACGCTTGAGCTTCTTTGGATGGAGTTAATTTGCTTGAAATGATTAAATGTGCTAAACTTGCTAATATTTTTTGCTGTTGAAAATACGATGCACTTTAAAATGACTTCCCCCCCCCACCCCCCGAAAAAAACAATATGGGTCAATATGCATGACAGATTGAAAATCAGTCATACTACAACAACTAAACACTGGTATGCAAAGATCCCCACAAAGTTTGCTTGTACTTCTGCAACGTTTTCTCAGCCACGCCAGACAAGTAAAGCAAATCCACTGCCACCTTACCACTGCTGCACACCTCCACTGCACGGCTGAATGGGCCAACACCCTCCTCTACAACACCCTGATCCGTGCATACTTGGGCTTTGCACAACCCACCACCACCCTCCTCCTCTTCACTCACATGCTTGCTCATCAAGCCCCACCCAACCGCCACACCTTCCCTTCGCTCACAAAAGCCATATCTCTTCTCCCCACCCACTGGGCTCCTCTTCTCGGCAAACCCCTTCATGCTCAAGCCCTCAAGCGCGGGGCATCTTCTGACCCCTTTGTGCAGACCACATTTCTTTGGTTGTACTCCCAGCTAAATGAGCTGGGCAGTGCACGCAAACTGTTTGATGAGATTTCTGAACCATGCGTCGTGGCGTACAACGCCATGCTTGATGCCTGTGGGAAGAATGGGAACATGGATCTGGCTGTTTTGATGTTCTCTGCCATGCGCAAAAGGGATATCTATTCTTGGACAAGTGTGATCAATGGGTACGCGAGAAATGAGCTATTTGAGGAGGCAGTGAAGTTTTTCAAGAAAATGATGGCCCATGATGATGTGATTGGCGGCTCATTGAAACCCAATGAGGCCACTTTCGTAAGCATTCTGTCATCATGCACGGCATTGTATCAAGGGAAGCAAATACACGGAAACATGGTGAAGAATGTAAAGCTGACCGATTTCATGGGAACCGCATTGATATCTCTCTATGGGAGAATGGGTTGTTTGGATTACGCAAAAAAAGTATTTGACACACTAACTGTCAAGAAAGCATGCACTTGGAATGCTATGATCTCTGCCCTTGCCATGAACAGCAGAGAGAAACAAGCATTGGAGACATACGAAACGATGAAGTCTACAGGCCTGAAGCCGAACGAGGTAACCTTAGTAGCAGCCCTTTCGGCGTGTGCACATGCCGAACTCGTGGAATATGGTCTGGAAATTTTTGATGCAATGTCTCAAGAACTTAAGATTGAACCTAAGATGGAACACTATGGTTGCATTGTCGATCTCTTGGGAAGGGCCGGGCTTGTTGAAGAGGCGTATAGGTTTGTGGGGAGGATGCCTTTTGAAGCAGACGCGTCTGTGTTAGGAGCTCTTTTAGGAGCCTGTAGGGTCCACGGAGAGGTCGAGCTGGGGAATGAAGTGGGGAGGCGCCTGTTCAACTTGCAACCAAAGAAGTGCGGCAGGTTTGTGTTGCTGTCTAGTATATATGCAGGCGCAGAGCGATGGGATCATGCTGCTGCCTTGCGAAGGGCAATGGTTGATGCCGGGATTGAGAAGATTCCTGCTTTTAGTGTGATTCAGTGAAGCCTTTTTTTATCTGGACAATGTTAGGGGTACATCAAAATAAGGTGTCACATTTGTAGACCAAGCACTAACATGCACACAGACATTCAATGTTTGTGCATTGTGTTTGTCTGTTAATGCTTGATGTACAAATGGGGTACCCCATTTTGGTGTAACCCTAGGTTAATTCTTTTTTTATCTATGTGTAAAAAAATAATGAAGCCTTATATCTTGTGCCATGTTTTAGGTGTGCAAAGTGTCCTCCATTAAGACATGGGATTTCAGGTTATTGTTGTGTCATATGAAACAATTTGCTGTAAATGTGAAAATGTTTGTTGCTGTGATTTAGTTGTACTCATGTTACATTACAATGTATAATGTGATACACCCTTCAAGGGGTGTGTGTTCTTTTTTTTTGGGTACAAAAACCGAAAACCGGACCGAAGGCAAAAGATTCGGTTATTGATTTTTGGAACCAACTCATTTGCCCTTCATTCCAAATTTATGTTTTCACTTGCAATGTTTTAAAAAATAAAAATCTATCTTATCATATTTTTGTGACACATGTTTCCCTCATTTTTTTAATTAAAAACTTTTACGCCCAACAAATTATATAATTATTACTGAATATATTTTATTCTGCTTTTACTAAAATAAAAAAAGTAAGTAGTTATATTTATATGGAGTACCTTTTTTACTCTTATACTTCATAACCTTTTCACATACTCAGCATGAAGATGATTCTAAAAGGGAGAAATCAATAAGAGAATGATAAGAGGAACAATGAATAATGACTAGAAACAAGATGACAATAAAGGGGAGGACTATAAACACACAAAATGAATACATGTACCATTCTATAATCCAGCAATTCATAATCCAAATTAATTCGTTTCCTTCAATGAATTTAAATGTACAAATAATATTATTTGTACAAATCATTAATTGATAGTTTGATACTAACAATAGATTCCAACTTAAGTGTAGGTACCACATTTTTTAACATTCAGTTCATTTATTTTTATTAAAATGTTGGTGTAGAGCCATCGATGCAATATCAATTACTTCCTCCGTCCTAAAACTTTCTTCTCAGAGCACTATTCCAACTTCACGGGAATTTATATTTATTTGTGTTTTTTCATGGCCTATATGATAAAATAAAATATTCTTGTCACCACTTGTTTTGTTGAACTTTTGATATAGTTTTTAAATATGTATGTTTTATTTTTTATTTTTATACCAATATTTAAATAAAATAGATTGAAAAAACTTGGGATTTTTCTTTATTTTGCGCAACGGGAAGAAAGATATAGGAGTGAGTACTTTGTAGAAAATATGCCAGAGTAAAAGAATAGAAAAAAAGCATATACCTCATCCATTTTAGAATAATTATATTGTGACACTTTTCACGCTTACTAGTATACAAAATAATATTATCAGTATTTTCAATTACTAGTAAAAATTCTAAGAAAAATGATGATACTCTGATGTTTTTTATAATATGGATTTAACAAATATCACGTGACTAAAGAATACTCTGCATATTTTTAATGGATTACTTATTTTAAGAATATGTCAAATGAGTATGTTGATAATGTAAAATTTTATGCATTCTCTTATCTTGCAACACAAAAAGTAAAATTAAAACACTAAGGGTCCGTTTGGTATGCGGAATTGACAGAACTGGAATTGAATTGGAATTGAAATTTCATGGAATTCAATTCCATAGAATTGAATTTTGTCAATTCTAATTCATTTTTTGCACTATCAATTCCAAATCCACATAATTTTTGTGCTATCAAACACCAGAATTAGAATTGAGATCCTCAATTTCAATTCCATAGTTTGAATTCCATATACCAAACGGAGCCTAATAGTATATTTTTCCACCAAGATCATTGTTTCTTCTACGTTTGATGTTGGAAGGACAATTCTCATTTTGACTTGACATTTTATATAGAAAAAAATAATATCAAAACTAATAATATCAAAATACATACACCCTAAAAAAGGAAAGTCAAAACTATTACTCCCTAAGTTATATCTCTTCTATTTCAAAATATTTTACACTTTACGCAAAACAAAACAAATTTTAACTTTTATAAATTCATTTTATTTCAATCTATTTAAAATTGGTAAAGAAATTAAATACGGAGTATAAAACTTACATATTTAAAAACTATGTAAAAAATTTTATAAAACAAGTAGTGACAAGAATATTTTATTTTATCACATAATTAATAAAAAACACACAAATAAATACTCCATCCGTCCCGGAATATTCGTCTACTTTTGACTTTTGGAACTGTTATCTAAGCACTTTGACTCATCAAATTCTCTCAATGTGTAAGCCTAAATATAGTCATGTGTGATCTTGTTTGATTTGTCTTAACATATAGATTATTAATATATAATTTCTATAACTTTTTAATATATAAATTATAAGATAAAATGGATTAAAGAAGTGTACTGGATGGTGTGTAAAAATGAAAGTGGACAAATACTCTGGAGGGAGGTAGTAATAGTTTTTGTGACTCTTGAATAATGAAGAGTGTGATTCTTTTATGAGAAATTTACTTAAATAGGACTAAAACATAATCATTTTCCCAATATATGACTACATGTTTTTATTTCCCAATGCAGGACTTTTGGTCATTAACAAATACTCATTATTCAAGTAAATATCCATCATTACTGGACATTATTCTTCACACTAGGTCATTATTAAATCATATTTAAGGAATAAAAAAGTTTAAGTCCTACATTGGGAAAATCATTGTGTTTTAATCCTATTTATTACAAATTTTACTTCTTTTATAGACGAAGAGAGCATGTGTGAGATTTTTACAGATATATACTCGTAATTATAAATAATTTGAAGCATAGATTACCTCAACTTAGCATTATTTTTGGTAAAAGAAAGAAATGTTAGAAAAAGGATTAGGCTAATTTTGCAGTTTGGAATTTGGCCTGATCGGTTGATGCCGCCAATCTTTCACAGTGTTGCGCAGAAATTACCAGAGAGAGAGTAGGGAGGTTTGTGTAGCGTGTAGATCTAAAGTGAGAAGGGAAAGTGTGGTTGGTTGATGGGAAATGGCGCACATAGACAATTTGCCGCCAATGGATCTGATGCGTTCGGAGAAGATGACGGCCGTCCAGCTCATCATTCCGGTCGAGTCCGTTCACCGTGCCGTTACTTACCTCGGCCAACTCGGCCTTCTCCAATTCCGCGACGTACGCTCAGATCTCTCTCCCTCTCTGTTTTAATCTCATGCTTCCTTGTCTCTGATCGCATGCGGATGATTCTATGATGAAATTCATGTCGGTCCTCTGTAGGCTTCTAGGAGCATACGTACCTGTGAATAGACGATGTCAGTTTTTGTTTAGTTCCAGGGATTCTCTGTTTCAAGCGTAATCATATGTTCTTTAATGCTTGGAAAATTATAATCATGAACTTTTGGTGGTTGTGGATCCAGTTTTTCATTGCTAAGTAACAACATTGTAGGTGTAGCTACAACAGTGAAAGAATCTGTTGGTTTTAGATTAGGTAGATACTATGAATACACATGATTTGTTGAGTTCGCTTAACATGAATTCGATTGCAATGTGCTACATGCCAGAAGAATGTTTTGTATTTAAGTGAATGATAGTGTTTAGATTATCATTGACCAATCTTCATTTCATGAATTTGTGCATGCCTAGGTGCATTGATTTTTTCAGTTAACTTACGACTTGATCATCTGTTGTCGTATTGGGCTTCTCGTTGTTGTGTTTAAGCGCTTAAGCTTAGTCCCTAGTTCCCCTACCCTTTTTAGTTTCTTTCTTATTATGGTATTACCTATTCCCAGGTCATCATTATATTGTCAAACTCTATTTATTCTTATTGGACTTGCCAAATATTATTTCAATTGATGGCCAATGTTTAATCTTATGATGTGGGATTCTATTCGTTCTGGTCTTGCGATTATTGTTATCGTTGAGGAAATGCGTTCACTATATATCACTTCTTTTACAGTTAAATGCAGATAAGAGTCCCTTCCAGCGAACATTTGTTAACCAGGTATGCTTAATAAAAAATGTTATGAAGTGCATTGTAGAAAGATTCCAGATAAACTCAATTTACTTTTATTCACTCTACTGTTAACTAATGAACTGATGGAATTGATATTGGATGTTCTTCCCGGTAGAAGTAAAATAAGATAAGAGTGCTATGTAGCATTGAGGAAAAGTACTATTGTTAAAATTTGCCAAACATGGTGTTGCTAGACTTGAAATATACTATCTCCCTTCCAGTATGCTTGTCCCTTTCTTCACTTTGGTATTCCCCAAAACTTGTCCCTTTTTACCATTTTGGCATGCCCCAGTTTTTTTGTTACATACTCTCTCCGTCCCATAATAGTTTCCCCACTTTGACTTCATCAAGATTAAGAAAAATGTAAAAAAAAGTGAAAAGTGTGTGATTCGAATTTGTTTAGAAAAATGAGAAATAGATTGGACCACATATCCTACATATCTTTTTCTAAAAAGAGAAAGAGAAAACGTGAGAAAGTTATTTTGGGATAAATGGAAAGAAAAATGGGAAAACTATTGTAGGACAGAGGGAGTATGATGTTTGGTACTCCCACAGTCACAAATTCAATATTGGTATGGATCCTTAGTTGTGGTTATTATTATTATTATTACTATTATAATTATTAGTTTCATATTAGTGTCTTATTTTATTTAGTTAATATTCCTAATAAGGATCTAGTTCCATAGTATGACTATGGTTGGTCTCTTGTACGGCTTCGCCTATTTGTATTCAACCAATTCATTAACAACATTATTGTTCAAGCAAATTAAGAATTCAATTGTCATGGAATTTTGAACCCTAGGGCTTCTTCTTCCATGGGCAACAAAGAGGATTCTCTTGTTTTCCTTCTGCCTCTCTCACCACAAGAACCTAGACAAGGGCTAACACCTGAGCCCTTAATAAATATCAAACACACAAATTTGCATGTCACTCTCCCATGTCCTAAAAATAGTCAGACAGATGGAGTGCATGAACTCATGAAGCTTATCTCATCTAGTTTCTAGTTATATGGAAAACGATGTAAAAGAAATTATAGTTTTACTGAGGAATGGATAAAGATATTTTTTCAATGTAAAACAAGAGCTATTATGGAAACAAATACTAGGATTTTTTTATGAAGCACTATAGGAGATGAAATCTGGAATAGGGTAAGTAGTTTTGGAAAATAAACTCTTATTTTAGCATTTGATTTGTTTTACCAGAGAGCTAGTATCTTAATCATAGCTTAAAAAATAAGCTCTACCTAAGAAATCCTTACAACAACTCACATATGGAGGGGCGGGGGTGGGGGGACTGAACTTTTTGCCAATTGATAACATGCTTCAAAGTTTTGGGAACCATTTGGCAGCCCTTTTCTTTTTAGAATTTATTTAGTTTAAGGTTCTGCATAGCAAAAACAAGAGATAGTGTCACGACTGTCAGATCATGTATGATACTACCTCCGCCCCCAAAAGTAGTCATGCTTGACCAATGTACAACTTTTAAATTTTGGTAAGGTACAACTAGTCTGTCTTTTTGGGAACTGTTTTGACAAATTACATGAAATATTAGCTTCAAGCAAAATGAACTTTTTGGTGCAAAAAGTGTTTAAAACATTACTCTGGTTTCCTTTTTGGAATGGAGTATATATGTTTCGTTATGTGAAGATTTCTCGATGAAAACACAATGATGGCACAGTGACTTGCATGATGAGCAAATCTGTATTGGTAGTGCTGAATCTGCTATCAGCGTATAATTGTGAAGGTCTGTAATGAGTTTCTGGAATATCCAGTGCTGTCTCACGCTCGACTTATCCCCCTCACGGACTTCCCTGTTGGACTCATAGTGTTGGAGACTGATTATGGGACTATAGATTTGAGTGGTTTGACCCGCAACTCATGAATATTGTCTGGCATCACAAGCTCGGCCCAAGGCCCAACTGGACAGCATGTCAGCTGGCACTACCTGCTCGATGAGAACTCGTCCATCAGCTCAGAGCCTCAGACATTACGCTTGGCATTACCTGTTTGGCTGTTGGCAATGAACCACCCATCTGTTTAGGGTTAATATAGTCCGGTCAAGATAGTGTTAAATTACTCCAATGTTCACCGTTCACAAGTTCACTATGCATCGTACAATCATGACCTCTACTTCTATAGTCACATTTTGTTAACAAATTAAGCTGTATAAATAATAAAATACACATTAACATGCACTCTGTGTTCTCTGATGTAGAAGCATTGTCAAGGTATGCCACACACCTTTACACGGCGTATCCTGCCCATCACCTGTCGTGACTAACCCAACTCCTGCCTTACGTTGAGCCCTCAACGCCTTCTGCTAACAAACTGCACTTCTGTGTTTCGTGCTTGATCAATCTACTCTATCCAACCCCCATCTTTATATATTCCTTGTGATGATGATCAGGTAAAGTTCCATACCAAACACTTGGCTCCAATGGATTCAGAGACTACACAATTAAGTATCATTACATTCAGTTGTTGCTTGTTTGGATACAAGTTTTTAAGGTGAAAAAGGACCTGTTAGTCTATTACATCTCATACTCTTATTGCCACCTATAAGGATGGAAAACTAGACTAACTTGGATCGTATGAATAGTTGTGGATAAATTTTAATAGCTTAATTCTTTTCCATACTTTTTTTTGCACTTTGCATTTACAGGTATTATATCACGTGACTTACGATTGTTAGGTGACAATGGTTTGTATTGAGCTTTTCGCAGGTGAAAAGATGTGCAGAGATGTCGCGGAAACTGCGATTTTTTAAAGATCAGATACACAAAGCTGGTCTTCGACTTTCTTCTTCTCCTGCTTCACAACCTGATGTTGAGTTAGAAGGATTAGAGGTCTCCTGTTACTCTGAACTACTCTGAACCTTAAGAAGTGGGCATCCGTCAGTTACTCATTTTAATAAACTGATACCTGCTATTTATGTTTTCCTTGGATCCTAGGTACAAATTGCAGAGCATGAACAAGAGCTAATTGAAATGAACTCTAACAGTGAGAAATTGCAGAAATCATATAATGAGTTGTTGGAATTTAAGATGGTGTTGCAGAAGGTAAAACATCTATCCTGATCCACCTTCAAGTATGTCAAGCCTGTAATAGATCTACTGAGTTGGAATTGAAATTCAGAACCTTTCTTAACCTTGATGAGTCTACTATTGTTGAACCCATCAAATGAGTGTAAATTGTTGGTTTTGTACCTTCTATCTACTGTCCCGTTTTCTCTCTCATTTTCCTTTTTAATCATTTCCAAAATAATGTCAACTTTCCCAATTTAAGCACTAACTTTTTATTTTTCAGTTCACCTTTTCCCCACTTTTAAAATGATTTGGCATTATGTGATATATCTGAGCAACAGTTTTGGAAAGTACATAGAGAGTATCTCACAAGAAACTGATATCCCTTATATATTGGGACAGAGAGTATAGTTGATTATCACCCCTCGAGTATGCTTGTCAGCATCCATATAATCATTGTGTTTGTTATGGCTTTAAATTCACCTCAGATGTGTGTACAGTGTACATTTAGCTTCAATTGTGTTGTGTATACATTTGTTACTTCGAGCAGACTCAATTACCTTTTCAAACAGTGTTCACATTCTTATAGTGTACTATCGGACCACATATTTTTCTTTCCATCTTCAATTGTGTCCTTATATCATAATGTGGGCAATTCTAGGCTGGTGAGTTTCTTCTTTCAAGTCAAGCATCAGCCCAGGAAACAGAACTAGATGAAAATGTGCACTCTCGTGATGAATATGCTGATATAGCGTCATTACTTGAGCAGGTAATATTTTGTTGTCACCTTCTAACTGTTAATATGCATGATAAATCGTTATAATTTTATATGTATGAATGTATGTGCGCATTTATTTGATTTTTTTATCACGCAGGAAATGCAACCTGATTTGTCAACCCATGTAAGATTTATTAGTGGCATAATCTGCAAGTCCAAAGTTCTTACATTTGAAAGGATGTTGTTTCGCGCTACAAGGGGCAACATGCTTTTCAATCAGACACCAGCTGAATATGAAATCATGGATCCTACTTCAAATGAAATGGTGATCTCTTTTTTTTACTTGTCATTGATCTTGAAATGTTTTACGTTACTTTTACTTAGTTTTTATTTATCGGGAAGGGTTAATGACCAAAAATAGAGGTAAAATAAATGAACCAAGAGTGTTGTGGGTTTCCTGACAAAATGAGTTAGGAGGTAAAGGAAAGAAAGTTACGGAGTAAAAAATATACTCCTTATATCTTAGATAGCCATCATGTGTATAAGTGTGTTGGCTATTAGAAACCCAGGTACTAGTAACTGTATGCCAAATACACTGTTGAAAAACAGACGCTTATTATTATACACTTATCATTGGCATCACAAGTAACATAAACCTCTGGCTGGCTTCCTTGATTATATACACCTATTATTTGGACCAAACAACTATGTTCAACTTTGACAGTTCAGACTTGAATGTATAAATACATCAATGTGGATTGTATTGCTGTTATTTACACAAAGAAATTAAAAAATCCATGCAATATGGTTCACTCCTTCGTCTTCTTTTAGTAGTTTTTTCTATTATTTAGCCTCAAAGACCCAAATGTACCAATTTCATTAGTTTAATACTAGTACCTCTCATGTTTTGCTTACGCAGGTTGAGAAGATAGTATTTGTAGTTTTCTTCTCAGGTGAGCAGGCAAGGACCAAGATACTGAAAATTTGTGATGCGTTTGGAGCAAGCTGTTATCCTGTTCCAGAAGATAGCATCAAACGGAGGCAAATAACTCGTGAAGTATGTTTTAAAATGATTACTTCTGCCCTCGCTGTTATTGAAGGAAAAAACTTTATGAAAACTTTAAGAAATTTTTATTGTAGTCAAAATAACTTCTTCTCTGGCTTTTTGCTCATATGTGGTTGGAATATGTGACTTTCTAAGACAGTCTTGTGAAACTACTTCTCATTAGGGCTATTCTTTAATTCCATTGGACCACTAGCTTGTATGATTATAGCCGCAAAAATTGTGAATATAGAACTCCAGTGTGCATAGAGAGGTTTTCTCCATCTTGCTTACTATTGTTCCCAGGGATTGAGAGTCATACCTAATTACCTATTACCTATGATAATTTAACTTCTTGGTGACAGGTTTTGTCTCAATTATCTGATTTAGAAACCACTTTGGATGCTGGATTACGTCATCGAGACAATGCATTGAACTCTATTGGGTTTAATCTCACAAAATGGATTAACGTGGTAAGAAGCACACTTCTTTGAAGAGGTTTTCACTTCGCATATCAATATGGAGGCAGTTTGGATTGGTTATTATTTATTAATATGATTTCAGAGTATGAGTTAAGAACAACCACGTTTTCTAGGTTAGAAAGGNAAAAGTGTCTTGTTGGTGAGGGCTGGTGTCCCATATTTGCAAAGACTCAGGTACTTAGTTCTGAACGTTTTTCAGTGGATAAATATATGTAACCTTCTTTATATTAGCTTATGAGAAAATGCTTGTGTCAACATAGATTCAAGAGGCTTTACAACGTGCAACATTTGATAGCAATTCACAAGTTGGGATAATATTTCATGATATGGATTCCGTTGAGTCACCTCCAACATACTTCAGAACCAACCGTTTTACAAATGCATTTCAAGAAATTGTGGATGCATATGGGTAAGTTGAGAATATGCTTTGACACTCACTTTAATAAGACAAATGATACTATAACATAAATACATAATCTTAACTACCCACAGTTAAATGCCTTTTTTTGGTCAATTGCGCTTTTGCAAGAATACAGAAATTTAATTACATACTAAATACTTGTGTCTTACTGAAGTATTTATTTCTTTAAATTTCTCTTTCAGGATTTTTTTTTGTTTACTCAACAGTTTTGCTTTTGAGTACTTAGCCTCTAACATTTTACCAGTGAGCTAAAAGCATATGCTTTCTCTTGACTAAGAAGCTATATTGCTTCAGTTCCAGACATCCAGTTATTCTCTGTACCGTTTTTGTCACACTTAAAGGAGGTCTGCATGGTGATATCATATTTTATATGGTGACATTCACATGTCTAGGTGAATCGGGGATGATGAAAAAGAAAAGGCTCTTGTTGTCAATGATAGGCATTGCAGCCAATATCATCTGCTTTAAACTCCATCTGTTTAAAAGCTATATAAGACATTCATATAGACTAAAACCATTCACAAAAAATACATGTGTTATCCACTTACCCATGGAAAATTGTGAAAGCTCTAATATCAACTTATTTTGTAGTGTTGCAAAATATGAGGAGGCAAATCCTGCGGTTTATACAGTTATTACATTTCCTTTCTTATTTGCTGTGATGTTTGGGGACTGGGGTCATGGAATTTGTTTGCTATTGGGAGCTTTGTTTCTTCTAGCTCGAGAGAAAAAGCTCAGTTCTCAGGTATGTCTTCATAGTGTATTTCGCTTCTAGCGTGAAGATTTTTTTGAAGACCAGATATGTAATTATCCATTTTATGGTTACTTTTTTGCTGCCAGAAACTTGGGAGCTTTATGGAAATGTTATTCGGTGGCCGCTATGTTCTCCTCTTAATGTCCATATTTTCAATTTACTGTGGGTTAATATACAACGAATTCTTCTCTGTTCCCTTTCACATATTTGGTAACTCTGCATATAAATGCCGAGATGCTACATGCAGGTAAACACATCCTAGTGCATTTTTATCTATTTCTATTTTGATGTGACCTCAAATTTATGATCTTTAAAATCGTCAATACCGTTTAGACTTCAGAGTTTGGGTGGGATGATCCTTATCCAGATTGCCAAAGCCCCAATCCCGATTAAAGATTAAAAATAATTCGAATCGTGTCCCAATTAAGATGGGATCACGACAATTAAATCCCAATTAAGAACTCCCAACAATAAATTTCATATATTGTACTCCGTATGATATACAATTTTGTTAAAAATTAAAAGAAAATCACTCATGAAGCACACCTAACAAAAAGAACATAAAGTAAACTAGGAGACCATTAAAACAACTTGAAAGAAAAAGATTTGAATATCACTTATATAAAAGATATGAAGTAATATTGTTTCTAGAACTAAACACATAAATAAAGATTTTAAATGTAAGTCTACCTGTAAGGCTGTATCTGTGTAGAAGATTATATACAAAAAGGTGTTTAAAGATAAAAAATAACTGAGAAGTGTTTGCTATTTTACAATGGATTGTCGGAATGAGGATTATCTGGATTTATTTGAGTTTTACAATGGTTTGTTATGCTTCCTATCCCACCAAGTAAAACACTAAAACATTATATTTGGACATAATGATCCTATGGAGTTGAAATGCAGTTGGATGAAAATTGCCAGCAAAAAAGGGTTTTAAGATGAATTGGCTTGAACGTAGTTTTGCTTTCTTCTGAATGAAACAAGGTGCTATTTTGGAAAGGTCGATTCCTTTAAGATGAAACAACCAGTTAATCTAGACATATAATGAGCTTTGCCCAATTGAAGTGTGGATACTTCTTTTAATTGCTGTAAAAAAATATGCTAGCCCTGTTAATTCCCGACTGGACTCTAGGTCGTCCGTGACCGCCTTGGTCTTTCCTGCATAGGCTCCATCTAATTCCTCTTAGGTCCTGCCTAACCGGAACTAATCCATGTAAGCACTGCTAGAACACAGTATTTACAGAACTTGTTTGTCTTTACAGAGATGCTAGCACAGTTGGTTTAATCAAATACAAAGACCCATATCCATTCGGTGTTGATCCAAGTTGGAGGGGTAGCCGTTCAGAGCTGCCTTTCTTGAATTCCCTGAAGATGAAGATGTCAATTTTGTTGGGTGTGGCACAAATGAATCTGGGAATTGTTCTTAGTTACTTCAATGCACGTTTCTTCAGTAGCTTGATTGACATTAAGTATGTATGGTTCCATCTTCTTTCTTCTTTTTAGTGATAATTCACTGGTCTGGATATAGGGAATTTATTATGAGAGTGTGTTACAGGTATCAGTTTGTCCCTCAGATTATTTTCCTCAACAGCCTTTTTGGATATCTTTCACTTCTCATCGTTGTCAAGTGGTGCACCGGTTCCCAAGCTGATCTTTACCATGTCATGATTTACATGTTCTTAAGTCCTTTTGAGGATCTTGGTGATAATAAATTGTTTTGGGGACAGAGTGTGCTCCAGGTCTGAAATCATTTGCATCTTCCTATAAACATACAATATTTAGGTCAATGTTGTTTCCCTTTCTTTTTTTTTAGCATAATATACTGTTGCAGGTCATACTATTGCTTCTAGCACTTGTTGCTGTTCCATGGATGCTCTTCCCAAAGCCTTTCATTTTGAGGAGACTCCACACTGAGGTATACATGTTTCTGCTTTACTCATCTTTGCTGCCTTTATTTTTTGTTTGTTTATCCATCATCAGCCTTTCTTGTGTGCTGGTGTTAATGGTTTCAATTATTTAGTTAGGAATGCAAACTACTCCCTCCGTGTGGATTTAGTTTACTTTCCGAAGTACTCCAAATTTAAGTATTATGATAAGATGACAAATTTCGAGTCCAATGGGCTGCTGCACGGAAGACAGAACAAGGGAGGTGCTATTGTTCTGAGGGGATATGTTGGGCAGTCCATGTAATTTAATTTTCCATGTATAGTAACTGAACGACTAATCCCGGATGTTTGGGAAAAGAAAAGTGTGCAACTAAATCCAGATGCTGGGAGTACCAATTATGTATTGTTCCCTCGGTTCTAGTATCTAACGAAGTAGTGAAGATGCTGTTTTCTATCCTTTTAACTTCGTAATATGCTTAGAGATTTCAAGGTCGAACATATGGGATTCTAGGAACTTCTGAAATAGATCACGAGGATGAACCAGGTTCAGCAAGGCCACACCATGAGGACTTCAATTTTAGTGAGATTTTTGTGCATCAAATGATACACTCTATTGAGTTTGTCCTTGGTGCTGTGTCCAATACTGCATCATATCTAAGATTATGGGCTTTGAGGTTTGTACACCATATACCGCATTTTATTGATCAAACATCTGTCTAGTCTCCCACTCCCAATTGCATTGACACATTTTTTTACGATGCAGCTTGGCCCATTCAGAGCTTTCGACTGTCTTTTATGAGAAAGTCCTCCTCCTTGCCTGGGGGTAAGTTTTCTAAGGAGCTTTATCTTCTTTGTTTTAATTCAACTTTCAATTGTAGCTCCCAATTGGCATGATATGTTGTCCATTAAGATTTGGTTATGGCTGAGG